CGGGACCCTGGTGGCCGAGGGCGCTCCGTACCTACCCGAGCAGGCAGCGGTCGCAGACGACGCCTCGACTTCCCTTGGAGACCGTGTACGCCAAGGGATCCGAGCGGAAGAGCAGCTCTCCGGGACGCAGTGGGGCCACGGCACGCAGCCCGTTTCCCCTGTTGGCGGTCGTGAACTTTTCCACCTTCAGCGGCTCCATCCTCTCTCAAGTCCAGCACCTCAGAGGTCCACCGAGTCCCTCAGCTGACTTCTCGCGGGCAGTCGGGCCCGCGCGCCTGCCCTCTGCGCGCATGCGTAAACCCGAGGGGCAGGGCGCGCGGCGAGGGGCTGTCTCTGCGCATGCTCGGACGGACCCTGAAGGAGGGTGCGCGACGCCTGGACTGGCAGCCCAGAAGTGTGATCTTAAAACATTTTGTGATGATGATTTAAATGCACACAGCAAAGTGGAGAGAACAGTGTGGTAAACGGTTTACTCTCCATTAGATCAAACAGTTCTTAGCGTTCTGCCAATTCTGACCGCTCACTCCCTATATGTGTCTGTATATGTCTGTACTGTGTCATTAAACCTGTACGAAGTTGTGTTGTTGAACCGTTGAAAGTGGTAGACATCATGACACTTCATTACTTTACATCATAACATTTCTTAGTTAAATACTTTTATATGTTCACAGAATAAAAAACTATCCCAGAAGGATGTGGTGGTGCATGCCTCTAGTCCCCACCCTTAGGAAACAGGCAGGACGATTGCCATGAGTTCGAGGCCAGCCTGGACTACATAGCGAGACCTGTCTCAAAAAAAATTTTTTTTAAAGGGTCCGGGGATCTGGCTCAGCGGTTCGGTGGCCTGCCCCCCAGGTTCAATCCCTGATACCAAAAAAACAAAAAATTATATATATATATACACACTATCCTGTAAGACTACAGTATCATCACACCTGAGAATGCTGTACATACTAGCAAGTTTTTTTTTTAATGATTTTAAGTGTTAAGGTTTGTTTTGTAAGTTTTAGGGTTTAGTTTGTTAACTAGAATCCAATGAAAGGCCCTGTCTCCCCACACCACCACCACAACACTGAGCTTTTTCAGAGTCTAAACTAGGAGTCTTGTAAAATGTTGCACATTTTTTTCATGGTCTCAACTTACTTTTCTATCCCCTATATTTCCCATAAACTGTGGGCTAAATCTAAGTGTCATAATCTAGAGGTTATTCTGTTTTATTTTGTTATGGTACTGGAGACTGAAACTGGGGCCTCTACACTGAGCTACATCCGTAACCCTTTTTAATTTGTTATTTAGAGACAGACTCTTGCTAAGTCACTAAGTTGTCCAGGCTGGGCTCGAACTCAGGATCTTCCTGCCTCAGCCTCTCAGAGTGCTGGTATTACAAGTATACAATAGCACTCCTGGCTCAGAATCTAGAGTTTTTATTTGACTTAAGTGAAACGTTATGTAGAAAAAATGCAAATATTCTTTGCCTCATAATATATATGTCATGTCAGAAGGTACCTACAAACAGTTTACTCTCCTATTAATAAAATTAATCAGCCAGGCCCAGTGACACCCAACTGCAATCACTGCACTGGGGAGTCTGAGACAGGAGGCCCACCATGAGTTCAAGACCAGCCTGTGCTGCATTGTGAGTTGGAGTCTACCCTGAACTACATAGCAAGACCCTGGCTCAACAAACAAACAAAAATAAATAAAATAATAATAACAAAGTTGATCAGACTTTGAGCTGTACCAGTTGTTTAATATCCTTCAGAGATGGCCTTATATGTATCTGATAACATCATGCTTTCATCTCCTTCTTGCAATGCACACTCATTCCCACCTCAGGGTTTGCCAGGCATACAACGCACTGCAGTACCACCAAAATAAGTAAGTAAATGTTAAGGGAAAAAATAGCATCATCTACTTCAAGGAGCAGGGCATGGTAGTAGTAGACACCTATAACTCCAACACTTGGGAAGCCAGGCAGGAAGATCTCAAGTTTAAGGCTCCCTAGAATACACAGTGAGATTCTATCTAAAAAAAAAAAAAAAAAAAAATCCAGGTCTGGGGATTTAGCTCAGTGGTGCCTGCCTCTCAAGCAAAAGGTCCTGAGTTCGATTCCTTGTACCTATTTTTTTTAAAAAAAAGTTCCTCTAGGCTTGGGAAAAAGCTTATCTACCATGTAAAAACCCTGGGTTTGATCCCTCACAGTGAAAAAACAAAAACAAAAAAATGTTTAAAAGTCTCACAAGTTGTTTGTGGTTAGAATTGATCTGTTTGATTCAGAGTCCAAATGTGGTTTACAAATGGCAACCGGTGAATTGTCTCTTCATCTTGATTTTCTTCTAGTCTCTATCAGGGCAGTAACTGTTCTCGGTTAGATGTTTGGATATAGGATCCAGTTCTTTTACCAGAGGCAGCAGAAAGAGAATGCTCACCCAACAGCTACTGCCAGAAGAGTTCATCTGTGCTAGTCAGAAAAGCCAGTGGCCAAGAAGCTGCCTCAGGAAGAGGTGTCTATTTGGATCCATTGTGACAACATGGCCCAAGACATTTGACCTCAGAAACAAGCAATGGGCAATATGAATTTCCACCAATAGATACTTGCAAGAGACAGTTTTTTGTTTTTGGTTTTGTTTTGTTTTTTGAGACAGGGTCTCACTATGTAGTTGAGACTGACCTAGAACTCACTATGTAGCGCAGGCTGGTCTCGAACTCACAGCGATCCTCCTGCCTCAGCCTCCCAAGTGCTGGGATTACAGACTAAGGGACAGTTTTAGTGTACAAAATCCTACCCTGCACTCTTAATGCTTTGTGCACAGCATGCAGAGATCTGAAAAGTGAGTGAATGTCTAGGTCCCAGTCCCTGCTTTGCTAGGGATAATGAGGCTTGTGTTGTTTGCCTGTGTGTGGTGCACCAGTGAGGGAAGGCCTGAGCTCTCAAACTAGAAAATCAGGTATTAAAAAGGTTCAATGGTTGGGTGTAGTGGCACATGCCTGTAATCCCAGGATTTGGGAGGCTGAGGTAGAAAGATTCCTGTGAGTTCAAGGTCAGCCTGGGGTACAAAGTGAGACTGTCTCAAAAAAAATTTTGTTTTAATCATTATTACAAAGAATCTGCAGCCAAAATTATCACAGAGCTAGAGCTGTATAACTGTTGATAATAATATGTACATTCCTGCATTTTGCGATGTTAATGCTATTTAAAATGTAAAATTTGAGCCACTATGGTAATATAAACCTGTAATTCCAGAACTGTAAGAGGCTGAGCCAGGAGGATCAAAGGTTCAAGTCCAATCTGGGCAATTTAGAGACTTAGTGAGAGCCTGTCTCAAACTTTAAAAAATAAAGAGGGGCTGAGAATTCAGGGCCTGGGCACATGCCCCTAGTCGCAGCTTCTTGGGAGGGTGAGGCAGGAGGAGTGCAGTTGTGATTTTTGTTCTCATTGTACTCAAGTTTGTATTTGTTGCTTTGTATCTTTTATGGGGGAGGCGGGTACTGGCAAATGAAAGCTGGCTCTTGTGCATGTTGAGTCCCTACTTTTCCACTGAGCTACACCTCCAGCCCTGTACTCTTTTTCCTTCAAAGGGATTCTACACACTGGGCACAGTTGTTCACACCTTTAATCTCAGCTTGTAAGTCCCAAGCCCCAGGTCACAAATTTGAACAAGTTTGAGTCTAGGCAATTTGGTGAGACCTTGTTTCCGAATAAAAAATAAATAGGTTGAGAATGTAGCTGAGGCAATATTGTGCTTCTGTGTTCAAATCCCAGTACCTGGAGAAGAAAAGTAGCCCCTCATTAACAAAAAAAAAAAAAAAAATGAAAGCAGGGACTCAGAGAGATACTTTACACTAATGTCTATAATAGTTTTATTTACAGTACCCAAAAGATGGAAACAACCACAGTATATTAACAGATGAACGCACAACCACAGTATATACCACAAAAGACATGTTAAAAAGAAATTGAGGGGCAGCACTGGGGAGGCTGAGGCAAGAGGATAGCCACAAGTTGGGAGCCAGCCTGGGCTGCATAGTGACTCCAAGGCCAGCCTGAACTGTGTAGTGAGACGTTGTCTCCAAAAAGAAAAGGAATTGGGAGTGGGCAGGGTCTCACTTGTAACTCAGGGTGCCCTCAAACTCTCCATCCTCTGGGCTCAGTCCCACAAAGGCTGGGATTACAGGCCTGCATCACCACGTCCTGCCTAAAAATGGAATTCTGATATATGTTACAACACGAGTGAACCCTGACAACGTCACGCTGAGTGAAGTATGTCAGGCACAAAGGGACAAGTTCTGCACGATTCCACTTATATGGAGTACCTAGAATCGATACATCGACAGAGACCACAAGTAGAACTGCCAGAGGCTGGGGAAGGGGAATAGGGAATTCGTGTTTGAGGGGGACAGTTTCTGTGTGAGGTTGTTGTACCCAAGTCGCGAAATCCCCAAGAAGACCACCAAGGAGTCTCTTCCGATGCAAACACAAGAGGAGTTTATTGCAAGCTCGAGCTTGGACCCTCAGGTGTCACCGACACAGCGGCTTCAGACCGAGAGCCCAGACCCATCTATGACGCAGGATTATAGAGGGTTGGGGAGGCTCTCCCTTTTTATAGATGCTATTTTTATCTTTCGCTTATTCTTGGATATTTGAGGGGCACTGGGAAGGCACTTACGGAAAATTACTAGTACCTACGTTCTGACAGAACATGTGATTATCTTAAACTGACTAATGCCATGATCAGTTCCTATTGATTACCCTAAGCAGGGATAAGCAGGAGAGATTCACTTTTAGATCATAAAAAGAGGAACAGAAACACAGGGTGGAGGTAGCCTAAAACAGAGAGCTGCCCTAAAAAGAGGAACAGAAACACAGGGAGACTGTCATACAGAATGGAGTTATACAGAGTGGAATTTTTGCAGCTCTGTTCTGGGCAAGAGGCACAGAGAGAGCCCACCTTGACCTGAAAACTTGGTCCTTACAAGGTGATGAAAAGGTTTGCAAAGTACACAGTGGTAAGGGAAGCACAAGAATGCAATGAACTTAATGTCACTAAAATGGTAAATTTTATATCACAATAAAAATAGGACCCTCTCCAACTCTATAGTCTTAAACCCACAAAAACTGGATCTAATGGAATAAACAATTCTGTAATAATACAATGTTCATTGTATAGCAAGAATAACATAGTAACCAATTGTCTTATTGCTCCATGGGAGATTATTTAACTCTTATAAAATGTTCTGCTTTCCAGAATTCTAAATAATGCTTCATGAACACCA